GGCTCATTATACTCTTAAGGGCTATTTAGTAATTTCCGCTGTAAACCCCGCATAAAACCCCAAAGCACCATCAAGAAGTCTCGCCGGCGAGAGAGAAGAAACAGATTCATTTCATTCCATCTCTCCGGTCGCTCTCACTTTCAATCCTTGATCACTCTCACTGATCTTGATATTGAATCGTCAATCTTTCCGATTCTCGTAATAAGAAAGATAATAACATCTGTTATCAGTTTGTTGTTGCGTTATTGAGAATCAGAGATACATACAGATGGAGGCTCAAATTGATGAACCAGAGACGATGATTCTAGAGATCAACTTGATCTCAGCACAAGGGTTGAAGATTCCTCCATCGGCTATGATGCGCCGTATGCACACCTACGCTCTCGCATGGGTGAATTCAAACGCCAAACTATGTAGCGATCTTGATTGCGTCGGTGGCGAAAACCCTACCTGGAACGAAAAGTTCATCTTCCGAGTATCTCAGGATTTCGTCAAAGGCGACACCTCCGCCGTTCAATTCCATATCTACGCCGTTGGATACATTCGGGACTACTTTATCGGCACCGTTCGTTACCTTTTAAGCAGCAGCCCTAATTACACCCCCAAATCCGGCCCGACGATCGACGTTCCAGCTTTCTCCGCCCTGCACATCCGTCGTCCTTCCGGTAGAGTTTGCGGCATTCTTAACATTGCTGCAACCGTTCACAACAGCTCCGATTTCGCTTCCTTGACCGGAATCTATGCCATCTGTTTCCGTGACCTAATGGGAAAACACAACAAAATCTTCAATCAATCACGGCAAGTCTCACGGCGTCTCAACCATGTCGGAGTCAAAAGCAACGAGCAATCTTCTGAACCGGAATCTTGCAATTCATCGTGTGAAGAGTCGGTTTGTTTCTCCGATGACACGGAGTCCATAGCCTCTAACTCCTCGTCGTCTACCACCGTAACGGCGTTTAGCGACAGTAACGGCGTCAGATCAAATCTTATAGTGGCGGGAAAGAAAGAACGGAAATCGGACGGTGCTAGTTTGTTGTGTGGGTTGACGTTGCAGAGAAGATCTGGTCTGTCAGATCAGAATATTGAAACGGACGGTCAAGATTTGGATTAACGGTTACAGTTCGTTGGTGGTTGAAACTTGAGAGTGAGGTCAATCACCGTTTTGACCCTACACTTTCAAAACTTTATCTTATACGAAAAAGAAAATATATTCGTACTTATTACATGATTTCTTGTTTTTTTTTTTTCTTGATATTTTAATATCGAAAAATGTTTTTTAGTGTGATAAAATTTGTAAGTGTGTTCTTGAATATGGAAGCAAATGGAAAGAATGAAAATTAAATAATTCTTGTGTATTTCTTTTATGAAAAAATGTATCACTTTCTCTAGGCCAAACATTTAGTTTATAAAACAATTGTTAAAAACACAAAGAAAAATAATATTTTTGTTCACTTGCAATTGATAAAATAATTAATATCATTATCGATGGAAAACACAAAAATTGTATAAAAAACATCAAAACGACATGAAACACTTAACACTACTAGAAATGAGGGGTGTTCATATGTTATAAGTAAGTTATGGAATGTTGAGAGAGAGAGAGAGAGAGAGAGAGAGAGAGAGAGAGAGAGAGAGAGAGAGAGAGAGAGAGAGATTTGATTGGTTAGAAAGTGGTTTTATCTATCATTATCGTTACCATGCCTCTTACAATGCCTCTTACAATAAGTTGTTCTCTATGTTTTAACTAGGTTATGGATTGCAACTTTAGCCATAATAACATTATAATAACGCATACCCAACACTTTAACAATTTTTTTTATGTTCAATGACCATGTTGACCATAAGCATGAAAGACATATTAGTGCTCATTTTATAACATCGTATATACGATATAAAAAAAATACTAATCCATTAAAATGATATAAAAGAAAGAAAAAAAAAAACTTTGTTTAATAACCTAAAGTTATGAAAGAATACGTTAATGGCCATTCTAAAAATGAGAATTTAGTTTGTCAAAATTCAACTTTTTTCCTAAACTATGTAAAATGTTTTTAGGGTTTTATGTAGAAAAGTCTTTGGATTTTTTTTTGATTAAGCCATAATTTTTTAATATATATATATATATATATATATATATATATATATATATATATATATATATATATATATATATATATATATATATATATATATATATATATATATATATATATATATATATATATAAAAGGTTTTAAAGTTTTAAAAATATTGGGTAATCAACTTTATTAATAGTTTATTTTTTGTCACTAAAAAGTTTTTATAAACACTTGTGATCCTAAACCAGACTTTTTCTTTTTAATTTTACTAAATTTTAGTTGATTAAAATACTTATCTAGCATAGAGTTATTTATGTGGCGGTCCATCTAAGAATGTAATTTATTATATTGTTTCAACTTCGTATAAAATTTATTTTATTTTTAATATTTAACTAGAAAGTTAACCCCTGCTACGCGGGGATAGAAGGTTTCCATGTTGTTGATAGTGGGTTTCACATACAGGAAAAAAAATGTAATAAGTATTTGTGTTACTTTTATCCCTTATGAAATAGATGATATCTATTCGACTGCAATTGAAACTATTTTATATGTTTCTTAAATACTTAAAGAACTCTATATGTTTATGTTTATATTGTTTTACTTTTTCAGCAGATAAATATATCAAGAAACGATTGTTTATGGAACAAAACATATTAATTCATTACTGGATCATTACATTTACATGGGTTGAATTACATAACAGTGGGAATGATATTAGAGGGTGGCAAAAGATTTGATTTTCATTGGTCATGGTATTGGGTGGTCTTCAATGATTTTCTTGCATATATCCATAGTTGTCGTCATGTTTTTTTGCATGTATGGCAGTTCGGCTGGAGCATGTTGCACATAGGGCAGCTATGACGTTTGTTTGCTTGATTTGGTACATAGAATGGCTAACTTTAGGTCTGGTAATTAATTCGATGACTACCGTGTGGTGGTTAGATATGACATTGGTCAGAATATCTGGCTAAATCTTCAACTGGATCTTATATAAATGAAGTGGTAATTTGTGTAAGTTTATAAATATTGATCATAAATATTCTTTTGTTATGCAATGTGTATGGTGGAATTTATGAAGCAACATTTAATTGGATAATGGTAATGTTCAAGATATCGTTAATGAGGTTATAATGATTTAGTAGATCCATAGATATAACGTAATATTATTAATTAATGGATTATTCAAATCATTATCTGTGTATTCATGTTTCACGTGATGGCTAACATGCATGTTTTTATGTAGGTGGTTCCTTAATTGATACAGGAAAAGGTGTTATATAGATTATATTTGTTTGGTTTTATGATTCTTTGTGTATGTAAGTTGGGCATGCTATTATATATTTAAACAATGATGGATGGATATGTATATTGTCACTATTTTTTTTATTGGATGGATATGTATATTGCCAGTATTTTTTTTATGAAAACATCTGCTAAATTTAGAAGAAGAGGATTCATGCAAAGTTATTTGTTATTGTTTTCAGTAGTAGGGAGTCATGATGATATGTTTATATTACAAAATATAGTGATATTGGTCCAAACAAAAGATGGATTTTGCAGTGCTTGTTTATGAAGTTTGCTGTTTGGCGGTCCGCTTTGCATTTTTTTTTTTATTGGCGTAGGTTTTGTCAAACATGAATTGAAAGTTGTTAGTATGTTTTTCGGAATTTTGTTTTTCGATTTGATTTTGTTACGTGTGTGTTTACCTGTAGGATCGTAGGTGAGAGCACGTGCAACGTGCTGAAGAGGTGTCGATGGGTCTGGTGTTGTGTCACTTGGTCGCATTCTTGTCATTCGTGATGGAGCTGGTGTTGTTGGGACAGATGTTTCAGACATGGTTGTTGAGTCTTCGATATCTATTATTATGAAACATATATTATCGGGAGTCGATGCTCTAAGCATTTGGATTGACATCATTTTTGTTTGTTCTTTGTGATTAGTGATGATTGAGGGCAGGGTGTTTCTATTTATGAGTGGGTTATCGGATATAAAGTTATCAAGTGATGACTTTAGCAGCTTCCGACATGATGTCTCAGATATAAGTGTCGATATGGTGTTCGTAGCATTGATAATGGTCACTGTGAACTTGTATCTATGGATGGAAAATATTTGTAAAGACCGCTGTGACGGAATAATGATCTTTTGTTTAATTGAAAAGATACTTACATGTAAGTCGGCTTTTCAATTAGTGCGTGTGCACCGCAGTACCAGTTTTCACCCCTTCTGAAGATAGGATCCTTGCATGTTGGACATGTTGTTTGGAACCAATTGTTTTGATAGTGAAATTCTTTGATTGAAGCCCGTACAATGAATGTTTTATGTTGTAGATATAAACCAATTGGTTGTGGATGTGTGAAATGAATCTTATTTGTAAATAGAGGTATCATTAACATGACGTTACCAGGAGATCGGATCTGTTTTTGGCCTTCATGTCATATAGGGTCGAGGGTGCTCCTAATAGTGGTGGCACTGGTATTGAAGGTCCTGTAAATCTGCTGGCATCTTCATATTAGTATGGGATGTTTACCATATGGAATATATGATTTTTTGTAATTTATGGATTCACATAGATATGTGTAGCATGTGATGAGCCATGGCGTAATGCTCCTATAGAAAAGTGATTTGGAGATTAAAAGCATGACGGGACGTGATGTCATAATCACAAGAGCTATATATACAGGGTTGTCTAGAAAAGTACCACTAGATGTGGACGGTTTTAGGTTCGTGACCGCAACAACCATTGTTGTAGGTGGTGGATGTAAGGAGGTGCGGTTGAATTTCTGTGGATTAGTTATACATTCTTTCCATAGATTGATTGCAAGTTCGCTACCACTAATAAAATTGAAATTGTTTTTGGTATTAGATAGCTATGAAAAAATTGATAAGTGTGGTTTCGTGATTAACATGTATACCTTTCATCGGTTAGTATGAGTAACACAAATGATTCCCTATTTGCTTTGGTGCAGTCCCTGATCTTTGATAAAACACCAATGTAATATGTTTAGTAGTAAATGGAACCGTGTAAGGAACATGTATGTAATCGGATATGTCAGTGTCATCACTACCTGGATAATATGGTGGTGTTTCTCCAAGCTCCATGAGATGTGACTTTGATACAAAGCGAAACCAGGTTTTGGGTATGGTTATTGTGTCTGGAATTGGTACTATGACAAATTGGAGGCCAACATCAATATAGAACTCATTTTTAAGGAATTTTTTATACTTATCTAACTGAGGGCAGTTGTAATCTGATATGTTGTAACACTGTGAAACATTGAGAACGGACTCTATGTAGTATTCTAACTTGTGGGTGTCCTCCAATACCATCAATCTTCAGTTATGAGATGCTCGTCATGACTTCTTTGTGTTTTATAATACAAAGAAATATGTGAAAATCAGTGGTATATTCGGATGAGAATATGAAATTCTATATATATGTAATTTATGCTGGAGCAGTCAACAGTAAAAAAAAGATATCAAAAATCAGTAATGCTTTTCGGAAAAGAGTTCACGAAAGGTATGAGAGGCAGTGATACTATAGACCTCTCTTGAAGTAACTTTCTGTAGTAAATCTTTGAAGACAACGTTTTTGGTTTGATTGTCTTCCATTGTGTCATTGGTCTTTATTAGTATTTTTTATGGAATCTGGTGATGTTGCTCGGGATAGTGCTACATAAAGTTGTCCGTGCGCACAGACAGGCTATGACAAATAGATGCCAATTCTACGCAGTGATTGTCCTTAACTCTTGTTGATAGTCATTGCGTAGCAAACTTTCACTGGAAACTGTTTTCGTGAAAACATGAATGGCAAATCTGAAGACTTGTGTACGTTTTCCAATGAAAGTGTCAGATATGATGGTTGCTTCAATAACGTTCGGTAACAATTGGGAGATAATGAGCCGGGTACCCTTACATAAACCTTCCCTCCGGTTTATATTTCTTAACAACATTAGTGGAAAATGTACTTTAACTGTAAGGTTGTGTGGTGTTATTCCTAGAAAGTTTAGTTGGTTTACGTATTTGATTGGATACAAGCCTTCCAAATCCGATGTGTGCTTGCCATTTGGTTGCATGATGTCTGTGCTATTGTATGTCCTGCCACTTGTGGTGACCATTTTTAAAATGTTAGCATTTATGTCATCATCTGTCTCATTTGTAGGAGAAACTATTGCTCTTACTGAAAGGTGTGTGGCAGTCGGGTTGTTAAGTATACCATCTCCATAAACAAAATCTACCAGTGTTTGTAGAGAGTTTGGAGTGGCTGGTATTAGGAGTGAAGATGGAATTTTTACCCAACTTGAGTCCCATGGGTCATCTTTGTCTGGTACACCTATGACTCCGTCTCCTATAGCTAGCAACCATGTGGCAAAGGCTGATGTGGACATTGAAGTCTGGGTCGTTATGTTAGAGGATTCTAGTCTCATGTTTGTATGTAAAATCTGAATTGTGAAATATGGCCATAGGTATGAACTTAGGGGCATGTTATGGGGGTTCGGGGAAGAACCCCAAGGGATCAGATGCGGGGCCGAAAGGCCAACAGGGGCGGGGTCGCTGTAGGAAATGCGGCACGACGCACGAGGGAGTGTGCAAGTTGGGATCGTCAGGCTGCTACAAGTGTGGCAAGTTAGAGCACTTCAGCAGGGATTGTACCGCCCCTGCACCTGTGATTCAGACATCAGAGTTGCTGTGTTTTCACTGCAACCAAAGGGGTCACAAGAAGGATAATTGCCCCCAGTTGACAGCATCAGCGCTGGTTAAGGCGCCGACTCTAGCTACCCTACGGATTATAGATGGCCGACAGGGTAAGGAAGAGGCTCCAGTGGTGAGGAGTCGGGCATTTCAGCTGACAACAGCGGAGGCACGCACCGCACCCGATGTGGTGACGGGTATGATTCTCTCCCTCTACTTTATTTTTGTGATGTTATGATATTGATATGTGCTCCGTGTATATGCTTTAGGATCGTTCCATGTGAACGGTATTCCTGTTCAGGTGTTGTTTGACTCGGGTGCCACCCGATCATTTGTTTCCCTTGCGCTTAGCAAGAGGTTTACTGAGTCTTCGGGCATGTTGGATTGCCCTTTAGATGTAGAGATTGCCGATGATAGATCGGTGCGAGCGTCAGCAGTATTCAGGGATTGTGTCCAAAGGTTATTTGAGGAGCGCTACTTGTTGGATTTGGTTCCTATCCCTTTGCGGGGGAACAAGGTGATTATAGGCATGGATTGGTTGAGCCATAATGGGGTGGTGATAGATTGTACACAGTAGTTAGTGCGGATCAGGACCCCAAGCGGGGGAGAGTTGGTGATCCACGGCGAGGGGCCACAGCGTGGACCTACATTATGTTCAGCAGCGAGAGCTAGGCATTACCTTCAGCAGGGTTGCGCGGGATATGTCGCGTATGTTTTGGATACCCAGTATAAGGCGAGGGTGAGCGAGGTTCCAGTGGTGCGAGACTACACTGATGTGTTCCCGGAGGAGCTTCCTGGAATACCTCCGGAGCATCAGGTAGAGTTCAAGATCGACCTAGTTCCTGGTGCGGCTCCGATAGCCAAGGCACCCTATTGATTGGCTCCTCCCGAGATGCAGGAGTTGTCTACGCAGCTGCAGAAGCTGCTAGACAAGGGATTTATTCGTCCGAGCAGTTCACCCTGGGGAGCCCCGATCCTGTTTGTGAAGAAGAAGGACGGGTCGTATCGGATGTGTATAGATTACCGGGAGCAGAACAAGGTGACGGTGAAGAACCGTTACCCACTCCCGAGGATTGACGACCTCTTTGATCAGTTGCAGGGAGCATCTTGGTTCTCCAAGATCGATTTGCACTCAGGATATCATCAGATGAGGGTCAGAGAGGAGGATGTGCAGAAGACCGCATTTCGAATGTGTTATGGCTATTATGAGTTCGTGGTGATGCCATTTGGGCTCACCAATGCTCCTTCCGCGTTCATGGACCTCATGAACCGCGTGTGTAGACCGATGCTGGATCAGTCTGTGATAGTTTTCATTGATGACATCTTGGTTTACTCCAAGACACAGGAGGAGCACGAGGAGCATCTGAGAGAGGTTTTGGAAACCTTAAGGAGGGAAATATTGTACGCCAAGTTCTCCAAATGTGAGTTTTGGTTGCGCGAGGTGCAGTTCCTTGGGCACCTCGTCAACCAGAATGAGATTTCTGTAGACCCGGCCAAGGTGGGGACCATGATGAGACGGGAGGTTCCGAAGTCTCCATCCGAGATTCGGAGTTTCCTAGGTTTAGCAGGCTACTATCGGAGATTCATTCAGGATTTCTCCAAGATAGTCGTACCCTTGACACGGTTAACTAGGAAGGTCGTGGTCTTTCGGTGGGGGCCTGAGCAACAGGAAGCGTTCGAGGTTCTGAGACAGTGATTGTGCGAGGCGCCAATCTTAGCCCTACCCGAGGGCGTAGAGGATTTTGTGGTATATTGTGATGCATCCATATTGGGTTTAGGTGCGGTATTGATGCAGATGGGTCATGTCATTGCTTATGCCTCAAGGCAGCTGAAGCCTCACGAGGCAAACTACCCGACACATGATTTAGAGTTGGGGACGGTGGTCTTCGCCCTCAAGATTTGGCGGCATTACCTCTACGAAGTTCGATGTACCATTTACACGGACCACAAAAGTTTGAGGTACTTCATGGATCAGCCGAATCTGAACATGAGGCAGCGTCAGTGGTTGGACGTGGTGAAGGATTATGATTGCGAGATCCTTTACCACCCGGGGAAGGCCGACGTGGTGGCCGATGCACTTAGCCGTAAGGCGGGACCGATCGGGGGTGTGTGTATGAGGATGACGGTGGTGACTCCACTGTTAGAGCAGATTCGGGAAGCTCAATAGGAGGCTATGAAGGAGGAACATTGGAAGAGTGAGCGTATAGTGGGTCAAGTCACCTCCTTCGATTATGATAGCCGAGGGTTATTAACACTGCACCGTAGGGTGTGGGTGCCATATCTCGGAGGCGTACGCCAGATCTTGATGGAGGAGGTTCACAAATCCTGATTCTCTATTCATCCAGGGGCGACGAAGATGTATCGGGATCTTCGCCTAGACTATTGGTGGCCCTGCATAAAGCGGGATGTGGCGTGGTACGTCGAGTGGTGCTTTACCTGCAGGAAGGTCAAGGCTGAGCATCAAAGACCACATGGAAAAATGCAGCCGTTGGATATCCTGTTGTGGAAATGGGAGGATATTACGATGGATTCTATCACGAAGCTTCCCAGGACGGCGCGAGTAGTAGATTCGATTTGGGTCATCGTGGATCGTTTGACCAAGAGCGCCCATTTTATCCTGATTCAGGAGAATATCTCGGCCGAAAAGTTGGCCGATATCTATATCAGGGAGATAGTGGCGCAGCACGGGGTGCCAGTGTCAGTGATATCAGATCGAGATGTGCGGTTCACTTCCAGGTTTTGGAAGAGGTTTCATGATGAGTTGGGCACTCGTCTGCATTTTAGCACCGCCTTTAGCCCGCAGACGGATGGTCAGAGCGAGCGGACCATTCAGACTTTGGAGGATATGTTGCGGGCATGCGTGTTAGACTTCGGTGGTAGTTGGGATACCTATCTTCCCTTGTCAGAGTTCTCGTAAAACAACAGCTACCACGCGAGTATTGACCATCCCCCATTCGATATGTTGTACGGGCAGAGGTGTAGGACCCCGATATGTTGGGGTGAAGTTAGCCAAAGGGTCATGGGGAGCACCGAGGTGGTGCTCAAGACGACAGAGAGGATCCAGCACGTTCGAAGCATACTTCAGACTGTGCAGAGTCGGCAGAAAAGTTACGCCGACAAGCGTCGATCAGACCTGGAGTCCCAAGTTAGGGATATGGTTCTCCTGATGGTGTCGCCTTGGAAAGGCGTCATTCGATTCAGGAAGCGGGGCATGTTGGGCCCGAGATACATTGGTCCGTTCAGGGTTGTAGCCCGGGTAGGCAAGGTGGCATATAGGCTGGATCTGCCAGCCGAGTTCAGTCAGATCCACAACACCTTCCATGTCTCCCAGCTGCGGAAGTGCCTCGTGGATGATTCAGCGGTGGTGCCGTTGGAGGATATACAGGTTGATGATAGCCTGAATTACATTGAGCGCCTAGTCGCAATCCTCGACCAGAAGTCGAAGGATCTAAGGAATGAGAGGGTGGAACTAGTGAAAGTGCAATGGCAGCACCGCAAGGGTTCGGAATGGACTTGGGAGCCGGTGGAAGAAATGATGGTGCATTACCCTGAGCTGTTTCAGGATCGAGCGGCAGACTTCGAGGACGAAGTGTAAAATAAGTAGGGGAGATTGTAGCACCTGGTTCCTGGTACGTAAA